AGGAAATGCAGGTCAAAGCCCAAAAAAGCTCTTGATCAGAGATTGCTGGAGGAAAAGCTTCCCAGACGCCGTTTAATAGGCAGCAATCACCCCAGGAGCGGGGAAGCCAAGTACGCTTGAAACATGGTTGCAATTCCTAATAGGTCTTGTCACACTTAAGGCGCTGCAAGCTCCATCCAACGAACAGCTGAAGCTAGCTGGCGATTCATAAAGCCAACAGTTTAAAGTTTATTATGATGAAAGCACTTAATGACAGCCATCGCTAGGGGCCCATCATTTATAAAGCTGTGCTGAGTATTAGACATGTAGCATGACCACCAATTTTATGTCACAATTGCTACCATAAAATGACCTTTGGTGATTTTTGCTGCATGTGGTGGACAGCTCTTCCTTCACATTAGTGCTCTGTGGCTTTCTTTGCAGACTATTATGCTGTCTAAAGCTTATTTGGCACTGTCGTGAGCCTCAACCCTTGTTATTACCCCGAAGGCCTGTCTTAAAAAAAAAACCAAAAAAAATCTCATGTTCTATTACGCCACTCCAATAATTTACAGTTCTTACCAGGCTTGGTTAGTGTAATATTTTAATGCAAATATGCTTTACCGTTGCATTTTATTTTAAAAGAAAAAAGTTCCCATGCTTCTGGCTAGAGCAATATCCATTTGATGGGAGTTCACTGAAATCAGCCTCGTATTCCCTGGTCAGATCTCACTGAATGGGCACTCCTTTCCCTGGTCGGTTGAAACACCTCCAGAAAAGAAAAAAAGGTTAATTAAACTTCCCTTGAGAAAGAGTTTGGTTTTTTTTAAAAGATCCTATGTGTGATAAACCCACCAAAGGCAGAAACACCAATTCCTATTTTCCTACATCCAGTCCCAATGCAAATTTACATCTGAGTAACATTATTTAATTAGGATTCCATTTTCCAGCCTGCTTTGTGTAGTTAGAAAGTGTTTGAATACACTGCCACTTTACAGCTCCGATGCAAACCGCTGCTGAGAAAGTGGTCTGTCCATGCTACACCACCTTTAAATTGTGTATATAATTTTATAAATGATATAAAATCTGCTTCTAGTCCCTGAAAAAAAAAAAGAAAAAAGAAAGAAAGAAACACAAGCATGGCACACTGCAATTTTGGAAGGATTTAAAATATGTGATTTCTGCTGGTACCTACTGTATTGGGTTTTATATAAAGCCTTTTTCAATAAGGGAAATTGTTACATGACAAACTCATCTCCCACCATTATCATCTGCTGTTTGTGTTTAACAACAGGAGTCCCGCTCTCACAAAACTGTTGTAATGGCTGCACAAATTACTCAGCTGAAAGCTTTTCACCAAACAAAACAGTATTAATCAGCAGTTCTTATGAAGGTGCTAATTAAAAACAATTTTCTTCCTCAGTTTGCAATACTAAAGCCATCTTCACTTGCACAGTTTCCAATATACAGCTACTGTATTTGCTCACACTTCAGGCCCTCTATTAACTATTGAATCTCCTATTAGCCATTTTATTACATTTCTGTTCACAAGCTTGTTGACATTTTAAAAGTCACAGTATGATCTGTTTTATCTATTAAAAAAATGTATTAATTGAAAAGTCAAGGGGACAAAAAAGGTAAAACGTAAACTCCAAACGCACAGACTTCCAGGGCAGACAACACAGTGAGCCTTTAGCCGCAGCCTGGGCAGTAAGCTCTGGGTAAAACGACATCTGAGAATTAAAGATGGCATTTCAGGCCTAGTGGTTTGTTAAACACCAACAGGCTCCTTCCTAATTTGGAACTAGTCCTCTCAGGGAAAGGTATTTTCCCTCTAAGTTCAGTTTCAAAGGAGACCTAGTCTGACTTTCAAATCAGTCTTTCCTCGATGTGATACAATCGGCAGAAGTATGACACTTCATACAGTCTGAACTCGGATTCTGACCTGGCTGGAGTCTGGGGGCCAGAGCTCAGGTCTACGGTCTAAACAGCTCACCCTTCCCTGTGTGTGTGTGTGTGTGTGTGTGTGTGTGTGTGTGTGTCTACATATTACGTCGATTCCCGAGTGGCTATCCTGCTTCCCCTCCCCAAGTCCTGCTGGACAACACCACAAAATCGCTTGGCACAGACTGGAAACAAGTCAAAAGCTGACAAAGCACAAAGACAAACTCCACGAAAGCTGGGTCGAGGGAAGTGAACAGTCTATTTCTATTTTTTAAAAAACAAACAAACAAAAGATAGAACAAAAGTCTAAACCTTAGGGAAAGGTAGGCCCCACTTTGGTGGTGGAGAGAAAAAACCCCAGCACGGCAACCACCTCCTGCCTGTGGTATTAAAGCCAGGTTCTTCAAATGTCAAAAGCAGTTAACTAGTTTAGGACAGACACCTGGCTGCTGCAATAGGGCTCCGAGGGCCACTAATCCTTCCATTCACTCAGTTAACTGCTGGATCCCCCAAATTGATTCAACAGGTATGCAGTGGTAAATTCGGCCCCTACTGAAACCAAAGGGAAAACCAGCGAGGGGCGGGCAGCTCTGCTCTGAAAACACCCGAGGAACCAGCCAGAAAAGCTTTTATGGCCCAGACAAGTTTTCTGCTGAATACTGAGCACCTAAATTACCCTTCCCTAATGGAAGTTACATTTTCACACTCAGTCAAAAAGCCAACAAAATACACAATTTATACAAAATAGCACCAACCTCTTAGGTAGTCTTTTCTAGCACTTTTATCCCAATTCACTGCATATGTCTTGCTATAAAATAAAATATATTTCTTATAACCAACTTATATGTGGCTGTTCATATCACCACATTAGAAGTGACCATGGGTGGGATTAGAAAGATTCTTACATCCAACCAAATCTACTTAGTATGACAAAGGAAAATGCTGAGTTTTATAAGAGATACAGGTACATGGGGAAGAGGAGTCTCATAATTCTTACAGTTTCCTGAGCAGACAGGCTTCCTTTTGAAACAAACACATGCATAATTACATCACAGGCAATTATGGAATGGGACATTTCTATTGCAATTATACAACCCAATACTAATGCATAGAAATAATTCTTAATTATGAAGCTCAAAAGAAATGTAAATGGACAAACTTTCTAAGCAGCTATATTTTCCCCTTCTCAATAGAGATTTCATTAAAATGTGTGTGTGGGGGGCTCTTAAATTACTTAATAATATGCAACATTAGTTTCTCAAAAACTTCCATAGAGCCTGGCTAGAGACATTTCTAGGTGAGGATCTTATAAAGGGGAGATCTATGAAAGCCTCAACATTTTACAGAAGATCCTCTAGGTGTTAATCACACAATAAGCACATTGCTTTCCTAGGTGTCTCTGGGTAGGACAGCTCAGTTTTTACACCCTGCCTCGAGCTTAGGTAACTGTACGCACTATTCTTAGATACTAAAAAATAAAAATAAATGTTACTGGTTTACTTTTTAAAATACAGTTTCTCTCAGAGAAATAAACACTGGATTTCTATACCCACAACACACAAATGCAAATTGAATTCTTGCCAATTCATGTGTTTTCATGAGGAAAAATGGAAATATTCTCATGATTCTGCTGTTCTGTATTTTAAAAGAAAAACAGAAAGAATAGCCCATCTTAGGTGCTACTGCGGGGATGGGCTTTCTTTGTCTGGCAGATTTAGTTGCAGGTTTTACAGAAGAAATAATTTCTGCTGTATTTTCACCAGTACAAATGGAACTACCCATGTTGCCTTTTAAAACATTCCAAATTCTAATTTTTAAACAAGAAAATACGAAGCCAGTGTGCACCCTATACAGTCGCCAAAGGAGAGCTGCCACTAGCTGAACTACTCAGCTAAATGGCTGGTTTGCATTGCCCTGGTCTTTATCTAGCACTGAGAATAGACTGCTGTTTTATCCAAAGAGGAATAAATTGCTGTTATTGTGATGTTAGCCCATCACTTGGCATTGCAATTCAAGTTTTTGTGAGGAAGAAATGTATGATCTAACTGCGACTTGACCTATGCCTTCCGAGATCCATCTCGGTGCTCTAATGGAGCAGAAAAGGTGGTGAATACAAGGACATGCAAACTGATGGTGAAAAATTTGATGATCTAAGGGAGCAGAGAAGACATTTGAGAGTTGCTGTTTTTACGACAGCTAAGTTTAACATGCAAAAGGAGCCCCCCCGCCAGTGTCCCTTTAATTGCAGCACACTAACGACAGACTTATAAAGATATGAGGATGTATAGCTAACCCACTAATGACATGGCTACTAAAGTGGGCGCAGATGATTCCTTACAGATAAACATCTGAATTCCCACAAAAGGCATTAGAGCACCTCGTGGATGCACCAGGCAAGAATATGCTCGGTTCCCTGCACAAAAGCCATTCTCTCTGAATCCTAGGTAGCCCCTATTAAATGTTTACTATACACTTGAGTCACAGCATATAACAATATATACTTGCTTGAAATAAGATAATTGTGTGATTGAGTTTTTAAAAACTCCCCCTGGTTGCAATCTAGTTTATCGACCATTTATTCAAAATTTCTCTGGAAAGGACTTGTTCTGAAAGAGGCCTGGAGAACAGCAGCAGCTAGATGTGAGCCCCGATAAAGGCTCACTTTTCATTCATAGTCAGGGTCTAAATGTGCTCTTCTTGTACCTAAACAGATAATAAGCACTCGGCACACTCCTCCTCCTTGACACCACACATTGAGACTAATCACACATAATTGGAGAGGAGGAGCAGAGGGCCGGCCACGCTATTGTGTCCAGAGGACAAACGGTCAGTTTACGAGGCTTTGGGCTGCTGCAGCCATTTCTTATACATCTATAGGGAAAAAACCACCGTTTAGAAGGAAAAAAAGAATGAAAGAATGAGGGAGGGAGCTAGAAAAAGAGATGGCAGCTTTCACACAATTAATTTGAAGGAGATCAGAAAGATACGCTGTATTTTTATGAACCAGGATAGAATCGTCATGTTTGCTGTTTTACAGATTAAAAGCTACCGCCACCTAAACAGAACAAAGACCAAGACTTACTTATTTTTTTTAATGAGGGTGGCAATCACCAAAAGAAATTCTGTCTCAGTTAGAGGTAAAAATCTTTAGGTTGCTCACAAGTCCAATTTAAATCTCAGACAGGTTGTTTATAGATATTTAAAGACAAACAAAGGTTTGGTACAGGAAGCGCAATAAGCAGACTGAAAACGAGAGGACCAGGATGGCTGGGGAACATGTCGGTGAGGACCGGTGGGCTCCAGAATCCACCCGTGGGATGTCGCAAAGGTGGGGGGCCCAAGTCTCAGATGCTGGAAAGTCTCAGGGAGCCAACAGCTTGCTGCACACTGTGCCCATTACAGGCAGATTTCTGTTTCTGGAAAATATTCCCTGTGCACATGATGTTTTCTTCATCTTTTGAGCAGTTTAATCTTCTATCTGCTTTTGGTTAAAATAAGCAGAAGTGGGTAATGAAGGTTTTCTTCATATATATCCGGGCTTTCCTTTTTCAACTGAAAATAATAATAGGAAAAACAAGGTAAGGAGACTCAGAGTAGGAATTTTTTACCAACTGATTTAAATGTTGAGTATAATGAAGACTTCTTACCTAAATATATTGTTCTGGGGAGAGAAAAAAAAAAAAGGAACTTGGGGTAGCACTCAGTGACACTGACATGTCAACACGGTGCGTCAAGATGAGAATCTCTGTTTTTGGTTTGGGTAGGGTGTTTTTCATAAACAGCTGCCCTGCATTTGTGACCCCCATGAACTGTGAGGCACTGCAGTGAAGGCAAACCTGGGGGCTGGTTCATCTTCACCAGGCCAGCCATTTGGCACAGAGGCGTCTGCCCCTGGTCCTCTGTCCCCAGCCAGTGCCCGGGAATCAGGCAGGCAGGCTCTCAGCTCACTGTTTGGAGACTGTGACAACACCTGGGCACATGGGACAGGCTCGTAGGGCCTAAGACATTTCAAAGACTCTCCCAGTTGCTTCCTAGGGTTTTAATATTAATGATAATTGAAAACTTCTTTTCTCTGAGGAGAAAAACATTCCGACAGTTAGAGCAGCAAGCTTCGATACCACTCAGGGGCAGCGCCGAGGGCCTGCCCAGGGCAGGTGTTAAAGCCCAACGGGCACTCTCAGATCTGAGGTACGCTTTTCCTCGCTGGCTAAATTCTCATAGTCGTATTTATAAGTAGTCTAGCAAATAACAATTCATTCTTTATAAAGACAAAGCTACTATTTTGAGCCAATTTTAGTTCATTTTTTAATTTATGAGGGTCAGAAACAAGTATTTCTTTTAATTATACATGGGACCAATTCCTCTATTGTTTCAAATCAGACCCCCCCAAGCTAAATGAATGGCTCCAGCGTGACACTTCCCCACATTAGTAGGTCTGGGGCGTAACTTGAATCTCTTCGATGGACGTGCTTCTTCTGTGCCGTATTCCCAACTGTGACGTGCCTTCACTCAAGGACGGGAGCCACCGGCCTGCTTTTCCTTTTCTTCTGGGGGACGTAAGGGCAGCCAGTCTTGACTGCCTCACCCACTTTCCTGACCTCTGACGGTGGTACAGTCACTGAAGTGACTTCATTCTGTTTTCTTAGGTGGAGTTTGTTCTATTTTCAAATGATTAGTTGTCTACTTAGAAAGAGCCTCATGGACTTCGGTTGCCACCAAAATAACGACAGTGTTATCCCTAAACATACATCCCTCAATATCACTCTTTAATAAAAAAAATAAAATAAAAATGGAGAAAATGGCTTCCCAAACCAAACCCACTGACAGGGGCCTACCAACTGTAAATACCTTTGGTGTCAGCTGCCCTCGTGACGCTCACTGAACGAGCCCACGGAGGGGAGAGGGGGCCAAGCTAGCGCAATTCTTCCTCAGGGATTGGGGATCAGGGAAAGTTGATTACTCAGCGTGAGTCAGCTGACCTCCTCACTCTCAATGCACTAATATACAGACTCAAATGAGCTCTTTATAAAGTCCCTGAGGTAATATGTGGGATAAATCATTCTTCTGTAAATACGGGTTAGAAATCACTTTTAACTTGGATTCTATGCTGACCTCTGGAGGCCAAAGCAGAGGCTTCCTTGCTGGAAGGGGCCAGGGGCGAGCCCTGTGTTGACTGTGAGCCCCTCCGGACATGGGGACAAGCCAACAACCCTCAAAGGCAACGCTACACCCCAGGCCCAGGTCATTTCTGAACCCAGTCTGTTATGTGGGGGTCCTTGAACACACACAAAGCTGTCAGGCAATATCTGCTTCGATGAGGGAATGTTATGTGGTCTAAGAATAATTCCATTTTTCCAGGCTCTACTTCTTAGCCCAATTAATAATTATAATTTTAAGAAATAAAAGAACACCTTGAAAAAAATGAACAAAAGGGAAATTATGAATAAAACAATTTTTTCCAATTTCATAGGTTAAAACGGGGTCTTTGAGGACAGAACTAAATTATACAGCTGCTGTCAGTCGCAGGGTGCTTTACTTCATGACTGGGTGTAACGCCAGCAGCGGCGGGCGTGGAGTCCAGGCTGCTTATCCTTTACCGTGTCCACAACTATCAACAGCACAACACCCGTCATGAGCACCGGCCACTTGTAATGTTGCATTTTGAATAGAAAAGCAGAAGTGCGATATGGCTGTGCTTTTAACACAATGTACCGGCTTCACCGCCGAGCCCGAGCCCATTTTCATGGCTACGTACAAAAATACAGAAAATAAACACGGGTGGTTTTGCAAAAGTTGGGGGCGAAAAAACCCTATGGTGTGTACAATTATATTTCAAAGGATATTTGCATGAATGAGAGTAGTTTTATCAACTAATTTCAAGCCAGCTGTAATCTTTGAGTCAGGGCTCTCCCTTGCTAAACAATCTGCCGTCTTAGGGCCCTGAAAGGTTCTGAGCCACACCGTCGCAGGGCCTTTGGTTCCCAGCCTGGGAGAGGCCGAGAGGTTGGGGGGAGAGGAAAGTGCTGCATTTTTCTTCCCGTGGCCTGAGCGAACAGAAAGGCAGTATTTTAAAAACACACTACACCTTGAGCTGCCTGGTTCCCGAGCACGCGGCTGCGTGGTGTGGGCACAATTTAACAAAAACACTGGCAGAAAAGTGCAGAATGGCACCGTTTTGATTACAGGCTTGCTTTTTAACGGAAATAAAATTTCACAGTTAACAATGAGAGGTGAAAAGTTTAAGAGGCAAAGCCGTTCCTCCTGATCACTGACTGTTAATCAGCTTCATGGGTGGCTGCCTAAATCTGTGGGTTTTTTCCCTGCGCGACTGCCAAGACTGTAACTAATTTCCCCGCTGCAGAGGCGGGACGGCGCGCGAGGCAGCTGTGAGTGACGCGGCCCTAATGCGGGCGGAATTAAAATGCATGAATCTCTTCTCGCCATTTGTGTAACAAGATTACGACGGCCGGCGGCGGGCGCGCACTATCAGGCCCCCCAGTCCTCCAGCTG